GATATCTATCAATGCTCACTTAAATCAAACAATCAAAGTTATCGTTTTCAAACAATGTCAATTAGATGATTGATATTGATGTAATTGACTTCAGCAGTTAATGCTTCTGGGTATGTTAATTGCATTTCACATATTCTACAAGCACTAGTGTGACTTGTATAGCTGATGTATATGGAGACTTTCTACAAAACAATTCAATTCCAAACAAATCCCCCCAATGAGCTGACATTTCCACCTAGTTAGCTAGTAAAAGTAAATAAGAGTTTATATATTTTTTTACAAATATACAGAAATGGAAAACTAATGGTAAAAATATTTTTTTTAGTATTCAATCAGTTAAATATAAAGAAATAATTTTAGTATCCTTGTGTTACAGTTATACTTTACCTGATCTAAATTCGAACCGAATGGATAGTTATAAGTAGGTACTTTTAAGACGGATAGAACGGTTTGTTGCACTTGACTTTACTGTTATGGGACAGTAATTCCAAGCTAAGGAAAGCGTTATAACCTGCTCTCCGAGTTTACTGACATCTGAAAATCCTGGACTCAGGACACCGTTTATGTTCGAACTAACTTTCTTCTCAAGCACAACATTTGTTATTGTCTTCGCCTGAATAAATGTTGTCAGATTATGGTGAACATCCTAGTTTGGCATAATACAATATCTATTTCCACTAAGAATAGTTAAAATCAGTTTCCTTACAAATGTGTACAGAAACATATTACCATTTATCTTTCTCGTCGTTGGTGGTTAAGTATTGTGTAAAAATATAGCTTCAGTATTATTTTTTCCATATATAGCTTTTGTTAAATTTTGCTTACTTATAGACATCCAAAGAAAAATGACGTTTTGCAAACACACTTTATCTCAAACAAAATGAAAATGAATTCATCGTTAAAATGTCACTCAACTACATCTCTACACTACAACTACAACCTTCATCAACATTCATCGTGTGATTACTTTTTAGCAAATATTATTTTATTTTAAATAGTTAAATCTGTATTACACATTACAGCAGTCATACCTTACTTTCAGACGCGGTTAAAATTGCTATGTCCGAAACGTGAACACTTGATTGACAGATCACGATATATACCTATTAGTTGGGTTAGCGCTGGGGGGTGATAATCTCCGCTAACAGGTCACGTGACCCCCGACCTTGCCATCCTTGCATAAGCACCTAATGTGTTAGCATTCCTGACCTATTTGCATGTTAATCACAGTTGGCCGCCAGCGTGATAGGTGTTTGTTGTTACGAGTGTTTTTATTGTTGTGATGCAGCGACCTAGCTTGATGTGTTTGTCACCAACATTGCTATTACTTTATTTTGTACGACACTGGAAACATGATGTTTGTAATCGGAGATGGTTAGCAACTTAATCGTGTGAATATCTAACACTCAAAAGTGATTTATTTCTTCGTTCAAACGCAATAAAATAGCCTACACTCTGTAGAAAATAAAATGTCACTTAAAGAAAAATGTAGGCCTAATGATAGCAAACGTTTTGATGTATAGAGTAAATAGGAATTTAGTTTGGATTTTTAATTAATATATGTATTCACCATATGTACCTGGTTAATATTTATAGCGAATTTGTATTGAATTCCTATAGGTTTTTAAATGTTTTTTCTCGTGGCTTAATTGGAATAATCTCAATTAAACAATCCATTTGTACAACTTAAACTGCAGTAACACCAATAAATTGCACTCATAATGTAGCGGAATTGTACAGACTATTGACGGGACCCCTCAGATATTTGTCACACACCCCCAAGTGTACACAATCCCACTATATCTCCTGTCACTGACCCGGCCACTACAGTCACTACACGACTGTTTGTGTTATTAGACGATAAATGGTTCATGACCGACGGTCCTTCCCTCCAATTTCTCTGTCCCCAATGTCACTGCTGTGGTCCGCTTTCCTTCGTTCCTTGTCACACTCGACCTCTCTATTGTTGCGTGTGCGGCGATTCAATCACAATGGCAGTGCAATTTGCTACTTGATGTTTAAATCTCACTGTAGTGTCTTGCTTGACTGGTCGTACATTAATTGCGCCAAAGAGTTCCTTAGTTGCGCCAAGCCCAAGCCATGTCGTAGGGTTGAGTTGCCGGCGGAAGGAATGTCCTTGTTTACGTGTCATACTAACCTATCCTATCATAAATTAACCTAACCCAACCTAGCCTACTAAATTATACAATATTAGAGAGAAACTAACGTAGCCACTAACGAGGGGTGCAGTTAATGAACGTATCGTCGGAGTATGTTTAATCTATGGTATCGGGTGGCTCCTAACTTGGCTCCCTGGAGTAGCTGGCGCAATTTAGGAATACCCGACTACGACCTGACTGAAGTTAGTTGGCGCAATTATTGCCCATCTGCTTGACCTTTGCAACAGCTTAGGGGGCGTGGTATAGGTTAAAAAAGCTATAGTGTACACATTAGTTACATACTCACCGCTAACAGTAGAAAACCAACTGTGTCACTTAGGCTACTCAAGTTTTATAGAATTTGTATGGTTTTGGCGCAACCAGGTGTCTGGAAAGGTTTTTTTGTCGTGCAGACTAAATATACGAATTCACTTCCAACGCTCTACCCCGAAACTTAAGACGTGTTAGGGCTGTAGGCAATAGGATTTTAAGGGAAGGAATGTCCCTGTATGAGCCAGGGTTAATGATCTACCTTTGTGTCCAATGTAAGCCGAGTTGGCTCAGTCGGAACCAACACGGAAATAGCATTACTTTTAAATATGTGTTTGGTTGATTGAACAATTGTCTTGTATATTTGGGTGGTTAAAACGTCAAAGTAATTCTATATCATCCCTTATCTATTATGATCTCACTATCGTAAATTCTCCCAAGTCAGGGATTGTGGGCTACTTGTGGAGAACTTAATTTGTGTAACACTATTTCTTATTTTAATAAAATCCTTACTGACATTCCTTCTTTGTAAACAGCATCAATTGTCACATTTGATAACTTTATACATATAATTTCTTATACGTCAGTCAGCATTGATTTTGATTGATTATATATACAATGTTACAATTGTACTTGCGTCGTTATTGTTGATTTAGCTGAACTTTATCAAGTAGACAATGTTTTTAACTTGATAATAATGTAATAGTTTATTTGAATAATTTATTTTTGGATCTTGTGTACTGTATAAGATTTGAACCTCTTGAAATTGAACCAATACTGTAGTACATTATCGTCCACGAGCATACCAGCGCATTCTGTTAGCGCCCTCAGAACTACTGTACAAGAATGTCAGTGTTGAAGGGTGGCAGGGTGCGCGCGCAGCCCCGACAACAATGCTCAACCAGTGCTACCATTGTTACGGAGCAAAAAGCCAACTTGTTTTACACTTGTTTCCCAATGTTGTGACCCATGAACCACTCTTGTGCTAATATCTGGGTTTAGACCTTTTAGCTAGTTTCTGTAGCTACACTTAAATTAATTAATGCCGAGACGATATGAATACTCTCCTGTCGCAATAAATATACAACATTAACGGTTAGTCTTTTCCTAGCTGGCCCATAATTAAATTATGTTTTTACAGCTACATCTTGTACAAACAATATTAAACTATAAGTATGTAAGTTGCTATAACGTAAAAACTCAGTAAATGTTGAGTGTAGATTATATAATTGAGATTCTGAAGGGCTCCTGTGTTCCTATCCAGTGGTGGTTTGATTTCGTCGTCGTCCGCGCCTTGAATGCCGATGATAAGCCAGATAACCGCCGTTTCCGGTCTCAACAATGTCGCTGGAGCTCGATGGCGACAGAATTTCAAATTTCATCCGCAGATTCTTTCACGGTGACAACCACTAACTGACATCACGCCAACGTATTTGATTTGTGTTAAGAGTTTGACAGAAAATGTAATATTGGATCATGCTTGTTGGGAGTGAATTTTTTTTAGAACATATAGCAATACGTATCCTTATCCTATGAATACATAACGAAGGAGGTTATTGAAGTTTTTGTAAATCTATAGGTACACTATTTGAAGTAATTTCTAATCTTGAATAATATAATGATTTCGTTCTTTTCCGTTAATTCACTACCACTACTATTTTATTGCAGTTCCGATGTTTTTAATAGTTAGCATTGTCTATGAATATATCAATTATAAAATGAAACTATTCTAAACTGACCTAAGAAAAAATTCTGGTAGTGAATAAACGGAATTGCAATAAAAAAATAGTCGTTGTGAACTAACAGAAAAGGACCAATGATTCAAACTTTTTTGTTCTCAATAGTGAAGGTTTGATTGTTAACAATCTTTTTCCTAACAACAGTCAGTTCAGCTCAGCTGTGCAATAAACGAACAGCCTGTTAAAGAGGTCCCAGTTTTATTAATTTCAATGGACTGGAAGTGGTCATAATTAAGCATTTCAAGTGTGTTGTGCATTTAAACAAAAGAGGAGCTGTGGAACCACCTCTTGTAGTTCTCCACTGACTAATGATTTGAATCTATAACGATATCCAAAATAATTTCAGCACAATTAGCTTTAGGATTTCACAGTGGTAGTTACACCTGATTGTTGATTTATATTTTAGACTTCCTTGCACAGGTTGACATTAGCACTCTGCTGGTGTAGTTGCTAGCTTTACCAATATTATGATAGAAAATGTATTATTTTTTTCATTCTACCATTTAAAATATTGATATCAGTAAATGAACTGTGTGCTAAACACAAATCTTCATCAAACTAAAAATATAATTTTTCTCTGTATCACTTTAGTTTATAGGTTTGGTGTGAATTGGCTGGTTAATTTTTACTAACCACGCTGTGTGGCATACAGGCATAATTTTGTACATTGTTTTTCTGATTTACCATGAAATACTTGGGTACTATACCACTAATGTATTTGAAATGGGTGAGCAAATTATTAGGCTATTGGTTTCCATGCTAAACGGAGCATAACAGATATTTCAAATTTTCATTTATAGTCAGTTTTACTCATCATCCTGTTTTGTTACAGAACCTGGAGTTCCACGGGGTGATGAGGTTCTACTTCCAAGACGCTGGACAGAAGGTGGCCACCAAGTGTATCAGGGTAGCGAGTGACGCCACGGCTCAGGACGTCATAGAAACGCTCATTGAGAAGTTCCGACCAGACATGAGAATGTTGTCAGTTCCCGAGTACGCTCTCTACGAGATACACGAGAATGGAGGTGAATACCACTACCAGTTATCAATTTGCGTCATAAGATGCTCCACTCCTTCCACGGACAACTAACTACCTATATTAAATCTTACTTAAAATATTGTTTTACTTTACCTAGCATCACATTATTAGAAGAGGAAATCTGATGTTATTAATTTGCTTTTATTTAGGAATCCAGGAGAGTCCAGGAGATCCTTTCCCCATTTGACTATTTTAGCAAACAGGCTGTCAAGTTTCTTCTATTAAAGTTATTTTATTTTCAGACATTAACTATTTCTTACAGCAAATGGATCTGCATGAGTGCTTATCTTCAATCAACTTTAATTAACTTTGTTTTATGGCTGTTTGTGGGGTAAAAAAGTTCTTATTTTACTTCCAAGTATGTTTTCCAATGTTTTGAAACAAACTAGTTTTAACCTTCAAACAAATTTTTGGATAGTTCTCAAATGTTTAAAAGAGTGCTTTAAGTTGAAGAGAAACTTCAAGTCCAATTCAGTGTCAGCTCAACGGTTCAAGCTTTTGTATTATATTATGATGTCCAAGTGTCAATGATCAAACACTAGATCACAAGAAGCACTGTATAATGTGGTACTATTTATTGATTTAACTTTTCAACTTTCAACAACTCAAAGCACAATTTTTCATCTTTTAAGTACCATTATAGTTTAATGTCCATTAACTTTACAGTCCATAAAATAAGTTAAAATACAGGGTTTTGTCTGTGACAGGTGGTTTGTTCTTTGTTCTTAGACTTTGAACTGAGTTGTTCTAGATAAATGCTTGTAGTCAAAGAAGTGTTCATGTTTGTTCCTTGTTCCAGATGAGAGGAGGCTGGGGAACGAAGAGAAGCCTTTGCTGGTTCAACTCAACTGGCACAAAGATGACAGGGAAGGCAGGTTTCTGCTGCGACGGATAGATGACAAGACAAATGTTAGTATTGTACCAAACTTTTACCCAGATTAGTTACATAAAGTATAACTGGATTATGTTTTCCATTAATTTGGGTTAATATGGGTGGGTCCAGCCAGTTAAAAAAAGGGGGAGCTGCTTCCAAAAAATCTCATGGTCTTAGGTATAGAACATTTGGCAAAGATTTTTTGAAAATCTATTACATATTTAGCCTAAAACAGTTCCCACAGCCCAACCCGCTCCCTTCCCTGGACCCGCCCATGTGTTGTGGAATTTAATAATGCTTAAACAATAAATTTTGAATCTTAAAGCTCAAATCACAAAAACCTATTCACTAGACTGACTAGTACAAAAATACATCTCTGAGGATTAATCCGCATAATCCAGCTAAGTAATTAGTCTGGACATTCAAACAATAAAATTATTGTAGCCTAGAATGAGAGCCAGCTTAACTTCTTAGCATAAATGTTTACAGTCTTATTTGATACACATGTAAAATAGTTATCTATTATTAGAAAAATGTAAAACCGTCCTTAATTTGTGATACTTTATTTACATTAGAGGTTTCACCACTCAAAAACATTTTTTAATCTCTCTTTCCCCTCTTTTATGTGTTTGTCAACAAAAAATTATATGGTGCTGCTATCTGGGTGGGATTCTTGGAACTTCCTCTACTCAAATCAATAACATCTCCTTCACTAATGTGATCATTTGGCTACAGATAGCAGCTCTGGTTAATGTTAGGGTTTGTTTTTTGTAAATCACAAACATGTATGAATTGCTTTAGTGAATGTCCAACAGGCTTATTTTACTAACACTAATCTATTATATTTATATGTGCAAGCTTTCTTTTTGGTTTTATGGAACAGAGAAGAGTGAGTATGCAATATACAATTTTCAATACCCAAGTAGGTTTTTAAAGCTTCTTTCCATTTGTCAAAGCATTTGTTTGCTTTCAAGTTGATTTTCCCTAAAACAAATCAAATAAAAATAACTCATTTCCAAACAAATGACAAAAAAAAAACATACACTTATATTGCAGCAAAACAGTATCAACAATTAACTGCACAAGTAAAATACTGTATAATTGTAGGATTCATAAAAAGTGTAGTTGGACAAAGTATATTCATAATACACTGTATGCGTAAAATGGGCTAAAGAGGACTTGTGCGTAGGCTCAGTTGCTTGGGTATGTAAAGAGCAAACAAAACAAATATAAATAATGTCGTAGTGAAATTTGTTAAAGTGTAGTGACAGTTTGTATGTAATATTTCTGAAAGTCAACGAGTGAACTGGAGTATTATAAGGGTTCAATGAAATAAGACTTGAACACTGAAATTGTAGATTTGTATCCACATTATTCTTGATTGTTTATAATGTATTTTGATGCTAAACAATTATGGCAAAAATTAGCAGCTCCGACACAATTTTTCACAAGAAACTTTCTCATGTATTGACTGTTAGAATGTTAAACATTTTCCTTTCACAAACATCATCAGCTGTTGATAAGCCAAGAATGCAAAACAGATTGTCCAGGCCCAGAGCCAACAACTAACATCTGACCAGATGTAAGACACCTTAGAATGAATCCCGCTGTTGTGTAATAACAGCTTTTATCTCAATTGTTGAGCAACACCGGCCTTGGAATAGTTTGCATTGGTTTATTCATGCATCTATACTAGGAAGGAATTTTCATTCCTCATGATTCTTATCAGTTTTGAAATTTATGAAAAAATTGAGGTTTTGTAAATATTACGAAGCATATCGACACAGTAATTAAATATACATAGTGTTATCTATCTTAAGATTTAATTAAAAAACTGTTAACTTATAAATTAGATGATGCATAAAAAAAATAGAAAACAATGTACAATAGGCTTACCCAGTACTGAAACATTTTAGCGAGTCCCTGAGTGAGATCTAAACTCACCGCCTTCCCTCCTTCAGGATAGTTAATACAGATTGTTTTGTTTGATCAATTTTACTCTCTTTTTTAGATGCCAGAGGGGACTTTCCAGGAAAGTGGCTCGAGTTTTAAGAGAAAGCTTTCAAAAAGAGAAAAGAAACAGTTGAAGAAGCAGGAGAAGCTAAACAGATTAAAGAGCACAGGAGGGGTCACGTCAGACGAGAATGATTCTGGTGTTGCTGAAAAACTGTATACAGGTAAAGTTGTGGAGTTAGACTATGATGTTATGCTGTTTTTTTTTCTTAACACGTTCGCTACTGCAATAGTACGAAATTTTTCATTCACATGGACCAGCGACGCACATATGCGACGGCCGGTTTCCACCCATAGACTGCCGTCGCATATATGCGACGGCTAGTCACATTAAAATAGACTGACGACGCATATTTGTGTCGGGGGTTCTAATGTTATTAAAATGCTTATATCTTTGTAACGGTCTATTTGAAGGCACTGAATTCCCTGCAGTGGTCTACAGAGATGTCTGACGCACAACTGCGTCGCTTGGTCTGTGGATATGATCATTGGTGACGTCATTTTATGATAGTTGGAAAAACTGGTCTTTACTTTTCTGCATCACTGTATGTATGTATGCAGTATTTATGCTGCATTATCCTCTGTAGCTTTTATATAAGTTCAGTTATAAACTGTTCTTCAATAATCTGTTTTTTTTTTTTACTTTCTTTTACCTCAAAACACAAACAAAAATGAACTGCCGCATATATGCGAGGTTTGGTCTATTTTAAGAAAACTATGATAATTTTCACTATTGTCTTCGCTGTAGACCGGGCGTCGCAAATATGCGTCATTACAAAAGGTTATAAAAAATACAAAAAAACAAGAATAAATTATCTACAAACACGATTGTAGCACATTACAATGTAAATGATCACTGTTTTACAGGTTTTCACCAACGAGCACATAATATAATGTGTATATAACATTTATATTATGTGCTCGTTGGTTTTCACCCGTGGTCTGTGTGTAATGTTAACCAAGTGACAGCCGGTCTATGTGTAAGATTCAAATGTATACCTTGGTCTGTGGCAATGACCGCGGCGACGTGTTAAAGTAACAGTTTTAATCATTAATTTTTATACACATAACACAGTCTAGACCTAGTGAATCGAAGCATAAACTCATAGATATTATCCATAGCCAAAGTCCTGCATTCTACTACTAGACCAGTTCGTTCCCCACAGTCCAAATCATTATCAGTATGATCTTACTAATATTATAAATGTGAAAGTTTGAGTGTTTGTTTATTTGTTTGTTTGTTTGTTAGTTTGTGTGTTTGAAGTTCAATCACGCATAAACCACTGGACGGATTGGGCTGAAATTTGGCATGATGATAGATTACATTCACGATTAACATATAGGCATATTCTTATCTCAAAAGTCCTTTCGGGCTCCGCCCCAGTGGCTCTGTAATTCCCCATGTTAACCTTATGAGTATTCATATTTAAAGGGAATTAAAGAATTCAGTCAGCTGTTTCAACTAAAAAAGTTGGTTCTATGATATGGAAAAGCATTAAAAAGTTATAAGATTTACCAACAGGGTGCAGCACTATATTTTTTTGCATTTATGAAAACAGCTAATTTGAACTAAGCAGCAACAAAAAACTGTGATTCGCAATGAGAACTGTCAAAGTAGGATTGTTTACAGTTATGTTTATGTTTTTCATTTCATGAATAATTTGTGATATTTTGCGAATTGTTGATAATTTATTTTTCTCTATTGTTTAGGTGAAGTAGTAGAACATTATGGCTATGGTAGATGTGTAATACTATAGAATACTGTAAATTGAAAAAAGCAAATTTTATCAAACTGTGATACTGTGTGCCATTGCAAACGCAAAGCTTGAGTATAACTGCAATAAGCATTTTATACTTATATTCCAACACCGTACGAAGGACGGGTACTCTGCTAGTATGAAATATATCTGTGAAGTTATGGGTGTGTAACTGATTCATAGACAAGCTAAGGTATGAAGGAGTATAGGACACATTCTTATGCATGACATTTTTCAAATGATACTCTTGACCAAAGTTTTTAGGCCTGCAATTTTCATGTGCGCTATTGGCAAAGCGAACATGACTGCTAAAGCAGGAAACCCACTGGTCCGACACTCTGTGACACGACACCTTCCGACAAAATTACTTTGCATGACTTTAAATGGACTGTAACCCACTAGTGCAATACAACACCTTCCGATCCGACACGTTCTGACAACATTGCTCTCTGGGGCATCATTGTCGGATGTCCAACATTTCTACACTCTGCGTTCACCAGACCTAGATTAGTCACTGTCTAGCTTTGTGTGTGACAAATTGTATTGACGGACGTTTGATCTAAGTGGTTTGGGAACATCTCTTTCTTTATACAGTGCGTTATAAAAGCTGCCTGAACATATTCTGATGCTTTCAATGATGCAAGTTCTATGGATTTGAGTGGTGATTGGATTAAATTTTGGACCAACTATCATAAAAAAGATTATGCGAACAAAGAACCATCGGATGCAAATAATGACCTATTTTACTACTCTAGCAGCCAAGAAATTTATAACAAAACCTGAGATGTATAATTTCTCGTCGGTTACTGACGGAGAAGTTCACCCGTCACCCCATCGGACCAATGAGTTATTGCCTTAAAAAGTGTGTGGAAGGCATCGAAAGGTGTCGGAGACTTGTTGGAAGGTGTCTTGTCGGGGAGTGTCGGACTAGTGGGTTTCCTGCTTTAGGAGCTGAAATTTGTGTCATTCTGTTCACAAATGATGCCAGTAAATAATGATGAACCTTGTTGCGGCGTACTAGCGAACTACGGATTTATACGTGAAATTGGCCCTTGTAGTTTTAATTAGTGGCTTAAAAAAGGTTTTCTCAGGATCGTGTAGAATAAAATAAACAATACAATTTTTTATAATCTTGTGACTGTAAAATGTGTAAAACACGAGTTATCTAAGTTATCTATGTTTCTGTGACGAAACATAAAGCTGTCTCCTGCACTGATATTCTACAACTAAAATACCAACTTTTACCAATCATCAACCTACATCGTTTGTGCCAACTGGAGACTTGTTTATTCACCAATACAAGTACGGTAAGCAGTAAAAGTGACTCTAACCAATGTAATGTTTGTGTGCAGCTCTACCAGAGACAAGTTTCACCAGGTCCATATCCAACCCTGAGGCTGTGATGAGGCGACGTCGCCACCAACAGTTGGAGCGCAAACTGCAGCAGTTCCGCAGCAAGGACGGAGGCCCGGACACTGGCGGAACTCTCAAGATATACGGCGAGGCTCTCTGCAGGTACTAGAGGATTGTCATTGAGCGGAGCGAGCGAAGCGAGCGTAGCTCTTTGGGATCAACTTCAATGCAACAAATAGAGAAACATCACTCAATAACGGCTGAACGCATTTCAGCCAAACTTAACAAAATTACTTAGACTAATAGTGAGATGGTTTTTAAACAAGCAAATTTCAATTAGATAATACTAATGCAATTTAAAACGAACTTAAAATTTCCAATTTTTAACATTGGGCTTATGGGACTAAAGTAGCCATATGACAGTTTTTTGTTTACAAGAAAAATGTAAACAATAGAATCATAAGGTATTTCTTAACTTTCTAGACTTTTCTTTTAAACGTTTTTAAACCATTCCTATGGTTTTAATAAACAAGAAAATGCCGTTAAAACATTTTTTCAAGGCACGGAATTCACTGAAAATTTAGAAAATATACGGAACTACTTTCTCAATGCGCGCAGCATAAACGAGGAGCGGAGGGATACGGACCGCGGTGACTACTTTCTTGGGAACCTATTTGTGTTGCCAGCTGATTAGAAGTTAGAAACAGCCAATGTTAGAAATCAGAATCTAATAAGCGATATATCGAACCGCATCAAAATCGATATTTAATCCGATAATACCTCACAGGTTATATTATGTTGAATTACATCGACGGTGCAGTAAGTTATTACACTTATTAATAAAACGCATATTGAACACTGATCTAATTTCGGCATGTGGGGAAGTTAGGTCGGGGTTTATGAGTATTCGTGGTTTATGAGTATTAGTGTTTTGAAGTAAGGTTAGATTAGGAAGGTAAAGTGTAGGTTATAGGTAGGTGATCGGGTTGTTTATTTGTGTTGCACCATATAATTTTTATCTTTTGGAATAGTTTGTTAAACGGTGAAACGATTACAAAAATGCTTGCATGGTATTAACAAGTCATCTACGGTATTCTAGCATTGTCTTTATATTAAGTCAATGATTCTAGAAAATTACTACATAAAAACCAAATGAAAAGAACAATTGGATTTGGACCTTTGACAATAGCAAAACTAACATGTAATTTATGAAATGTGAAAAGTTGTATATCATTAAATACTATTCTGTAATATTAATAATTGTTCGGCAAATCCTCATTTTAATGGCTCGGCTGAAAATGGAATCTGCATTTTGTGAAACAGTAATTTGGTAACAATTCAGTAATTTCAAATGTTGATAACATTAGCCTATCCTGTATAAATACTGTTATTTGATTGCCAAGCCACGGGCTATACATACGTCCAGTTACAACCATAATAATAAGTAAATTAATTAATTACCGAGGCTTATAGAAGTCCACTTTTAACCACGGTATGGATAATTGTCAAGGCTTGTCCAGAAGTAGGCTACTAATTTCTAATTATATTATCTACATTGTATATTTAAGGCATGTCTTCCCTTCTTATTATTATTCTGTTTTCACTTTAATCAGCTGAATGCGATGTTTACTTATTACTTATGTTTAGGCCTACATTTCAGCCATTTTATGTTGCACGGTTGAATTTAAATGTCAAATTTCCCCTCCTGTTGTTATACTTTAATACTCGTTTTTTATAGTTACTGTTTTTTTTATACTTAAATACTTTAACCGATTGTAAGGGTGAAAAATGTAGCCCAATGTTTTTTTGTTTTAGGCTACAGTTGCATTTGAATGTTAAATTACCTTTCTCTTTTTTATACTTTACTTTTTGGATGTTAATATCAGATTCCAACTACTGTAATATTTTCATGGCCAAAACTACCATAATGCACTTCTGGAAGAGGTATCTGAATAACAAGATGTAGTAAAAACAAATTTGAATTGTTATAATTTTAATCAATAAAACCAGCATTAGTACATCTATTGACCTTTTTACATTTAATTACTTATACAAATATCAAATCACGTTTGTTCCGCTCAACTGGCTTTCACCTCTCTGAAAGCAACCCTAGTTAGTACAGAGTACAGTAGAACCCCAATCATGCAAAACTCAAGTTTTTGAACCCCCAATTATCTAAATCGCTTTCCAAAAGAATTTTGATGAATTATAATTACAGTAATTAGAATAGCTGACGTTCGCTGCGTCCCATCAATGGCAGGCGTAGTCCTGGTGTGGCACAGCGTTGAACAAACCCAACCGCTGGGCGATTGGCTTTCAAATTTCGGTCCGACGAATAGCAAATAATGTGCGGTGATGTATTGCGTTACGACGAGAGTTGATGTAGTTTGCTTAAACACCCACAGATAACAGCATTGCTTGGAACGTAGACTGTCCCATTGTATTTCCAATTGGAGGGAGAAAGACGGGACAACAAGTAGATTTTTAAGCTTGCCAGAGGGGGATTTTACGGGGAAATCTGCTACCAACACACCACAACAAAAAGCAAGTCACACTACACGCTAACGTGATATAGGGACTGACGCTAGGCTCGCACTGAGCAACAGCATAATAGATTGATGAACTGAAGTCTGGGTCAGTACTGACCCAGCAGCGTGAGGGTTGCGATTGCCGTTGGTTCAGTGAACGTTTAAAGAAGGCAGAAGCCATGATCCTGGCAAATTCCTTAACTTCTCCAATGGTCGTGTAGATATCATCACTGTGACTTTTGGTCACAAAAACCAGTTGTTGCCATTTTTGTGTTGTAAAAATTAACATAGTTGAATTAAGTCAGACAGAGTTTTCTGATAAATTACTGTTGAATACAACTGTGTAACAAATCCAAACTGAAAATCTCATATATTAATACGTGAGGGTTGTTTTTTGTGAACAAAACTCCTCCGTTATTTCTGGACCGATTTTAATGTTTGAGGTGTCAAATAATTCGTCTCAATTCGTAGTTTTGCATAAAGGTTTTAGAATTTAAAATCTCTTACCCTTAAGGGCACGAGACGCTCTCAAAGGTCGTATTTTCCCTATAAGAATTACATTGAAAACTAATTTAAAAACAAAACCAGCTGTATATAAAAATTAACTCACCAGCCTTTGGGGAGTAAGTATTGATGTTAGTAATATTTAGGAGGTTATAAACAAATCTAAACAGTTAATCAGTTTTGTTGGAAGAAAAGAAAATTTCTTGAATTTAAAGGAGAAATATTGAAAACAGGAGGAGGAAACAATTAATAGGAAATCTTATACTTATGAGAAGAATAGAAGAGAGGCTTGGTCTCACAGTAAGGAATCCAGGTACACAATCACTTGGGGAGATGAATCATTTTTGCCAGTTATGGTAAGCAACTTATTTTGGAAGTAAAAAAACCATGAAGAATATTCACATCATGTTGTCACAGTGGTAAAGTAAATCTACCTAAAGTAAGATAAAATAAATACATGCAAGAAATGTTTACTGGTAACAGCTTTAAGTCGGGAAACATTTGTATAAAACACAAAAAAATAATACCGGGTCAAAAAAATAAGCATTTAGTCGGGTCTTTTAAACTAATAGAAAATTATTACTGTTATTACTGTAGTTTTAAAATAACTTCTGTATAGGCCTAATACCGGTACTTGACAATTGCTCGATTTCGAGCAACAGGTACACTAGTACAGTTTATTTTAGTTATAGCTTATGTCAAGAAATATTTATTTTTAAGGTGTAGGAAAACTGTGAGTGGCTCATACAACTCTAATGGTATCTAAACTTGTTAGTAGTTCTCAGAGAATAATCTTTGAAGGTCAATTGAACACATAGCACAATTGTCCTCTCTCATTTTAGCACTGTTTTATATTGTTGAATGCACAATATCTTGTATGCAATTAACTGTACTCCTGAAATTTTAAGGCAGTTTTATTTATATTCAAGCTAACAATTGTGTATGTATCTCCAATTGTTGATGATATCTTTAACATTCTCTTTTGAGATTTACTAGTTAACTAGGCAATATGACTAAGTTCTGTGGATTTTTGAAATTTTATGTCTTTGAACTGTAAGCACTTTTCCATCCATTTTTATGATACTTACAAACAGGTCATTAGTAGACCCCATTAACGGGAGTATAAGGCAAATTAAAAGTAGGCCTCGCCATGACAAAATTTAAATTCATTTAGATAATTTTTAGGAAGGTATAAAACCATGAAGGTTTAATTAATGAGTGAAACGTGTGTTGCAGCGATGTACCCTACAAGACGCTACTGTTGAGTGTTGGCGACACTGCTGCTCTAGTGGTCAGAGATATGTTGGCCAAGTATGGGCTAGACAGAGAGGACGCTCACAACTTCTGTCTTGTACAGGTAAATTATTAACAATTATTGAACCTGAGTTTTTAACCACAGTTGTGTTGAGTGATAGACTGGAACTACCAATAAATATGATTATTAATTGGTTCTACTTAGATAAGAATTAGTCCTAAAATTGTTTGTCAGATTAGGAAAAACTAAGTGGCTGAACAAGGGATATTAACTACTGTATACGAGAGAATTAGTCATTAAGGGGTTGATATTTACCCTCTAAAATAGTGGTAGAATTTCAATAAAATTTGACAATTTCAACCTGTTACTTTGATTTCCGTCAGACTATTTTTGGTTGGTCGGTATACTTTAAGACAAAAGTCTTGTCCTTGATAATGTTTTTTGTTAAGCTCCAAGCAGTTGTATACTAAATTTTCTCAGGTAAATCTAAACCCTATTTTTTACCAAACTTACTTTTACTCTTACTTCTTCTCATCTTCCAAAGAACTATCAGTCATGGTAGAATCATATTTAGAATACCTGTTATTCTTTAATCATACTCTTTTCCTGATGTATCATTTCAGACAAAATAACTGGGTTTTCTAGCTTTTATACTATTATAAAATTGAGGAGGTGTCTGTCTGTATGTGTGCCTGTCCCGATTAAAATACTAAACCGATACACCAAAAATCAAGCATAAAGATTGTGGACGTATCAAGGAATGTGTTAGGCTAATTCACTTCCCTGAGTTCCTCTCAGTCTACACCCCTTGGATGTCCAAAGTTTTGAGGTGAGGTTTTCAATAGTAAATATTAATTGGTCTCCATGTAAGCATGAGAAAATTCACAATGTTAACCTTTTCGTTGATATTTCAATGTAAAAAAACCAGAACTGTCAATCACAATTTCAGACAGCTGATACAAACAAAATAAATATAATATTTCAACAACTATGTGGTGGTCTATTAACTCATAGATTATTTTATTCCAAGTGCTTTAGTCACGGTCAATTGTAAGTTGCGTGCTCCCGTGTCTCCTGTAGGTAAACCCTTTTCATCTATTCACCACTGGAAAAAGTCACAAACGTTGTTTATAAAAATGTTCTCTAATAATATTGCTTGATTGCAAAATTTGTGTAATAAAAGTAATACTATTGTTAAACGTTTACTTTTCTTTATTATAATGTAAGACTTAAAATTAAACACAATCATTAAAAGGCCAGGCTGATATTTATGAGATAGTTTTAACTATCAAGATGACAAGAGGTTCTACCCGCGAATTCACGGGCGTACAGAAGCAACCATTAAATTATTTTAATCAACTTGGACTTTATATTTCATTTAAAGGGCCCAAGTTCTAGGAATTCTCATCTGAAAGGATGTTAAAAACAGTGGAACCTTCATACCTTACGTCCTAAGGTGGCCGAGGTGGGTACGGTTGTACCCACCGTACCCCTAACTTTCCGTGTCCTTAACTTTTCTTGTCCCCATCTTTTCTAAACTCACCTGAACTCGCCGCTCTCTTTCACGACGTCTTTAATACTTTTCAATGAAATGGCGACCTGTTAAAGATCGGTGACAACCTTTTGGAACGAACAACATAGATGGTTTGTTAGTCTCATATTCATCGTGTTTCGAAAACTTTTAATCACTCACTTGTACCAAACAGTTAGAAATAGCTTAACTGTTAATTCACCGCACCTCTTTTAAGGACATAAAAGTAAATAATAAAATAAGTAAACAAAAATGTAAACAAACAAACTATATTGTCAATTGCATTGGCCAGCTGTTGTTCACTAAATTATTCGAATAGCCTTCACTTCAAAACATGCAAGGCGTAGCCCTTTGGAAATCAGCCTGTGGGGCAGAGCCCTTAGGGAGTTCATCCATATCAATACTTTTCGGCAAATCTACACACTCTAAGCTTAATTTTGATATGCCATATGCATATATTTTTATTTGGTAAATGGCCTTAACCGTTTACATAAAATTTGATTGTATCACTTTAATAATATAATAGATGTTAAGGGGACACCCGTTCTTTGAAACTCAATTTTCTTCTCTTTGCAAAGCACCAGTATAGCATCTAGCACTGCATAAAGTCTTTTGTTTATCTGTAAGCCTTTGGATACTAAATTGTTATTGACAAGCTATCAAAGCTCTTTTTCTTACTAAACCCCCACCCCTAATCTCATTTTCTTAAAAAATATCAGTGTTAAGTAAAGCATTCTTTTACTATTTCTGGATTTGCAAGTATTTAAAGTTTATTCTTATATTCATTGCTGGACCCTTGTTCCAATTTCAATAATTTAATTTCAAAAGAATGTTTGAAATATTTTTCATCAGGAAAGGATCTGTCACTAGCAACTCAAAGGTTTGTGTACAACCAAACATAATTCACTGCTTCAATACCAATATCAAGTAAGGGACTGTCAATATTCTTCCAACTAGTGGGGTGAACAGATCTCACCTTTCTCTAAGTTTTCCCCTTTTATGAACAATATTGGCCTTTTAAATGCCCATAATCCAAATACCACTACATCAAAGACTGTACATTCATGGTAATCCATCACACTCTTAATATACAAAATTATTTAATAATTCAAACAACACTAAACATTAAACACCTTTGTTTTATCAATTTTTATTAAGGTCATAGGTGATAACTTTTTTAAAAACAAAAACTGTTTTTTTTTGTATTAACTAAAGATATTTCCCTATAACAAATATTCTTACCAAAATGTCTTCCCAAGATTGGAAAAAAATGAAACCATTTATAAAAAGTAATTTTTCAAAACCTGCGACATACTTCACTTCTCACCCGAAGCAGAAGAGTTAGTGACACTCAACATTCACACAGTGTCCAGGTCAATTCTGTTAACGTTCCTCACGACCCACACCACTAGTAGTACGATGGCCAGTAACAACACTGGTGTGGCTATTGACATCCACACATTTCCCCACACTCCGCAATACGAAGGGTCTGAACACCGGGTGATCACTTCTTTGTCCTCCGGTATAAGCACGTGTGCCGACTCGCTAATGTTGCGGATGTCGAACTTGCGACTCGCTCTTGTGCTCTCCATCACCTCTTCAATGGCGGACATTGTTTCTTGAGAATTCATCTTGATAAGTCGGATATGAAATGTGTAGATTTTTCACAACTTTGAAACGTTTAAACTATCCCATTTGGTCTTTATCACGGAATTGTATCCAAACTATGTTTACCCATAAAACATCTGGAGGCACTGTCTCCTAAATAAAACAAAATTGGTCAGATCTGATTGAATGGTTGCAGCAGACTGTTGCTGTGTTAGTGTTTATTTCTGGCCGGTTATCACAATTATCAGTTGAACTTTGAGTGTTTTCTTTGAATCTTTCTTATGATTCATTGACCTATAAGAGTCTGTGTTTTGATCGGGCAATATTGGTTTGGTTTATATGAAATTAATATGGTTTAATATTTGGTGGTTAAAAGCATCGCTAAATTGAGATTCACTTTCGTGTTTCAGTTGTAAGTTAGTTTGGTCTGGGTTTTTCAATTTTAAAACATTTTCTATATACTTCTTGCACTGTTGTTTACGTATTACCTCTGTGTGTATTTTTAACATTGACCTTCTTCCAAAAAAATTCATTCATATACGGATGAATGTGGAAATAATACTTTCTCTTTTAAACAGACCGTACAATAATGGTTTGTCAGATAGAGAACTCTAATAAATCGGCGAGGATACTGTTTCTATGTGTTATAAATTATACTTGCTTTGGCAACAGATATCTATAATTTGAACAATCCACAGAAGATAAAATTTCATTACTTCTATGTAGGTATTATTAATTTTTTATCAATCAATGACATTCAGTCTGGTAATAGCTGTCACACTTTTTCTATTTTGTGTTGTAGAATTTTGATCATATATATGGGAACTGATTTTGTACAATAGGCTATATTATGTAATGAGACATTGTGTCAATTTAGATTCATTCCTTTTATAACAATTTGGTCTTTCAAAGGAGATTAATTTTTTTTTAAATTAATTTCAGTCAATGCTAAAAACAATAACAGTTTCAAACGCTACTGTTAAGATTGCCCGCCAATATTGAAACAGTAAAAAAAAGTATAGGCCCTACCTAAAGTCAACAATCCTCTGATTATTTTCCTTTGTTCAGTGTGTATATGCACTTACACCCCTAAAGATTAGAATATTTACTATTGCAATATGGTCATATTTTACTACTTTACACTTTCTTTAACTGATATTGCTATTTTGTCCTACATATTTACTCTTAAAAATCTCTTTAAGTTTATTTTTGTTTGTTCACTCTGCTTTCATTTTTTTTCTATTTATCAACTGTAATATTTGGGGTCTGTTTTGCCATTTTCTAGATTCTCTGCTGATTTGCTTGACTTAGCAGAAACTGTATCTTCTGTTGCTTTCATTTCGGTCCTTGTTGTGTTTGATGTAAGGAGTAATTCGGAAGTCAGACATTTCTTATTGCATATTTTTCGTTATCCCAGTTTTTAGCATTAGGCTTTTATAATCGTGTTTTATTCTTTAGGTGAACACTGCAATAGACCCCAACGCTGAGAACAAGGAGGTGGGCCCTGGCAACAACAACACAATCAACAACAGAGAATACATCCTGGATGACGATGAGTGTCCGTTAGCCATCCTGATGAACCATCCACAGTCTAGAGGTAAGTCACTATCAGATATCTAGTGAAATTATCGTCAAGGATATTGAGATAAGAACTAGTCATATAAGATCTACAGTGTGCTGAGGCTGGCCATACAAACATTGAATTGTTGCCGTTCCAGTGTGTACAATGAGACGACAATAATTTATCTTGGATGGGACGTCGCACGCGAGGATAAAAAGCAGTGCTCGACTGTACCTGACTTCACAGTTACTTATAGGTGCGGTATCCAAAACACGTCTGAAGAGATCATTGCAGAGCGAGGATCGCCGGGCGATGATAGCTGGGCGTCAATCGCTTTAGAGCCCATTGTCCAAGAAAGTGTCTACTAAGTTCAGCAGTTTGTTGCTGACTGTTAAATTGCAATGTGTGTTGAGTTATTTAGTGCTCTCTCATTACGAGTGTTAAGAACAAACGTTTCACAATCCTGTTGATCGAAGAAATTGATGATGAGGAAATTATGGACATTGTAAGTGAACTGCGATTGTGTACTCACAGTGTTTTCACAAAGAGAACTGAGGAAAGATATTTTAAAATACTTATACAAAACCAATTCCTTTTGAATGCAGACGAGAGGCTGTTTTGTGACTTTCAAAAGAATCTGACGTTCCAACTTCTTAAGCTACTATCACCCAAATGTTGTTCTTCACTCTTTGATTTTTGTAGACGGGGTTCTGTAAGTCAAACAATGCTTGATGAGCAACCGATCTTTAATCAACTTTTCATCTTTGTCAGAAGAGAAAAAAACTTTTCACTATTCTTGCAAGAAGATATCGAAGCTTGAGAGCAAGGGAGAACACGACACAACACTGTGGCTATTGCTAGATGCAATAGACGCTGGCCATCAGCGATCCCGTCTGCTCCCGGAGCAGTGCCCTGCCCTGCGTCAGACGCTCAGCGTCTCAAGCGTCAGGCGTTTCTTGGACATCGGGTTGAAAGCAATGCTTTGCAGTCACTGAGCCTCCTTTGCCAGCATTTATTTCTCAAAGACGGACACAATGGACGCGTCTTGGACAATGGGCCTTAAAGATGGACCTATCATAAGAAATCGTTTTGCTTTGTATTTGGTGAAAAAAAATAACAGAACTGTATGCGTACACTCAATAAATAGTCAGCGTCTATCACTCGTTGTCCCTAACTTTGGAGGTTTTAGGCCAGATCATTGGATTTTCTTTCATCTTTGTTAAACGCATATCCTATCGGTCATTTCACTTTAGGGTTGTTCTTAATGGTTGCTACTTGCTTTACTGTGTTACTGGTTATTACATTCATGAGCACTCGCTGGTATTGGTGAATTTTTCGAGTGGTTACTTTGGAATCTGTTTACTTGCCACACTGCCTGGAATAAAGTCAATGTCATTAAATCAAACATAGCTCCTCACTCCCAGGGCCATCTGTACCGACAGGATCGAAAATATAGAAGGTTGCTCCAACTAACTTAGGGATGGACGAGATTGGATTTTTAGTTTGAGACGAGACGAGACGAGATTTTTTATTTCTCATAAAATTTCGAGACGAGATCGAGACGAGATTTCCCTTCTCATACATAACGAGAAATGCGCGTTCGACATTTTAACCTGATTTTGTAGCATTGTTAAATACCTACCGATTTGATGACAGATGACTGGTAAAATACAAAAAATGCAATAATAGGCAAGAATATTTCAAATCTTTTATTAAAAACATCATTAAAAACAGCAGTATAAAATATAAATGTTAATTAGGCCTACCTTATTAAAAATAACTAATACGCATAGGAAACATGGTGATATCAGTTAGGATATAGTTTGACTTTGAAAAATACAAAATAGGCTATATCAATTTAAAACATCAGTTTTATTAGTTAAGTATAAAACTACAATAGTAAAACTTTGAAAAATACAAAACATATCAGTCCAAAGATCAGTCTTAATAGTAAAGTATCAAGTAACATTATTTTCAGTCTTGTGTAATTTTTGAGAATTATTTGATTTTGGAGTGACTGGTTTTGGCTATGTTTACAGTAGACCTAGTAATACATAACACACACTGCTTACACTTTACAAAACTTCTCATCCTTTGGTTATGTCAAAACAACAAATCATAAAATAAAAATTGTAAATGGAGGTCATAGCCATAATAGGACATGGCATAGACAAAATTATCAATAAAACCAATAAACAAACATAATAAATAATAGCATAGGACATAACATAGACAAAATTATCAATAAAACCAAAAAACAAAACGTAAACAATCCTGTTAAACAACAATATAAAATAAACAAAAATAGCCTACCACAAATAATTTCCTATTAAATGACTATGACAAGGTTCACAATCACAGATATGTTATTTTTTTATCAATCAATCATCATACCATCATATAATAAAAAATAATATGATTTTAATAAACACAAATGACAATTAGATAAAAACAAACAAGCCTAGCCTATAACATGTACACTGTTAGCCTCAGCCTCAAGAACTCATTGGACTATTGTCAAGTAAAACAATAAATAACATCAACCACTTGTCAAATTATTATATTCTCAAGAATTAATAGTATTACAATTCTATGAAATACACAAGTAGATTAACTTGAGAATTTTAAACACCAGTATGAGAATTTGAAAGACCCAACTCTACGCAATACATAAATAAGGACAAAGTCAAAATTTAAATTGATTATGGTAGATACCTTAAATAATAAAACAATACATAAAACTCAGTCAAGGGAGACTTACATATCTCTGAATCCAAACAGCCTTAAAGAGATCAAAAACTATATTTATAACATTTACTGGTATAGCTTAATTCAAGTAGGCCCTACTCCCCCTGTTCATACATTAATTTAGAGTTTTGGTGCAAAAACACCAGTTCTTCAACATGTTCTATTGTTAGCCTTTGCCTCGATGGAGTGACTACATTTCCTGCAGAGGAAAATGTTCGTTCACTTGCAACTTCAGTCCCAGGGATACCAAGGTACTTACGAACTACAACTTTCATTAGAGGAAATCTACTTTCATTTTTCCTCCACCAAGCACAGGGATCTTCAGATGGCAGAATAGTTGGCTCACCAAAGTACACCTTCAGCTCTTCATCTACTAGCTGATCTAGCTTGGTGCTACCGGCTGCTGGTTCTTGGGCCTTCTTCGCTTCAGCCTTCATGATGAAAACGGACCACAGTGAATGTGACTTAACTTCTTCTTTTCCTAAAAAGAAGATATAGGACTAAGTACTGTAATATTAAGTGTAATGTCATGAATAAAAAAATTAAAATGTAATTAGGCCTAGTCTACATTAATAGTTCCTTCTTTTAACCCCATGCTAACAAAACATCATTCTCTATTGTTCAACTGTTATGTCTGTTGTTCTGTATTTTTGTCAATTGAATAATAAATGTTAAGCTTTACAAGACTATTTATTTTATCTTGTTAGTTGTTAGTTGATAAGGGATAACCTTAATCACATGAACGAGAAATTTTCCTTATTTAGGTGGACATTTTTATGTGGTTTTATTGAATGTTAGCTTGATAAAAGTTTACATCATCTCAGCTTCAATTTTATATATTCAAATGAACCTTTTAAGTATTGTACTGAACTGCAGAAACTTTAATTTGAGTATTTAACTAACCTTACAACTGCAAAAATCAAAACCAAACATAATCTTACATTACAAAATATTTTTGTACTAACTTTGGCTTTTGTCTTCTTCAACTGGAAGTTGTCCTTTGGATGCCATTATTTGTTTCTTAAACTCTGATAAGTATAGTGACCTTTCATGTGGTTCCAACGCAATGTCTTTGAATCTTGGGTCAACAAGCATAGCATTGATGTACGGGTCGATTTTCATATTTCTAGGAAATCTGGACAGTAAACTTTGCAGTAAATGCCTTGAAAACATTTTCCCTACACCAGTGTCATCTTCAATAATGGCTTTCAATTTCTGCTCAATACAGTATAGTATGGGAATCACCATTGAGGCTGTAGGCATAATTGAAGAGCACATTTCAACTGTGGCTTGGTAAAGGGGCTGGAGGATTTTGACATAAGCTTCTACAAATCGCCATTCTGAAACAGTCAAGTTATCGATTTTGCCTGAAGAAGCTAAGTCTCTCGCTATTGGTTCCTTATTTTCTAGTAGTCTGGAGAGCATTAGGTATTCAGAGTTCCATCTGGTTTCTACATCTTGAATGAGTTTGAGAGGTTCTTTTCCCATCTCATTTTGGAGGGTATGGAGACGCTCAGTGGCCGTTGAGCTATGCCTGTAATGGCCAACAATTTTGCGTGCCTTGGTTACCAGTTCACTCATACCTGATGTGCCTTTCTTGGCATCTACCAAAACAAGTTGAAGGGTGTGGGCAAAACATCTAAGGGCAGTAAGCTGCTTGCACATGTTAACTCCCGATGTTATGTTTTTGCCGTTGTCTGTGACAGCATAAATGGGTATTGCCACATCATTTAGGTCCCAATATTCAAGTGATTCATTAGTTTTCTGGGCAATATGTTCACCAGTATGTTCCCCTTGAAAACCATAACATCCTAAGCAGTAGTTTTTTATAGTGAAATTCTCATCCATGAAGTGTGTTGTTAGTGCCATAAAGGATTCATTTGAGAGGGATGTCCACATATCTATGGTTATTGTAATTGAGGCTAAAATGGATTTCTGTTTACTTATGGAGTTATGGATAACATCCTTTACTCCTTGGAATAGTCCAGGAATGATATTCCTACTGAATGTCTTGCTAGAAGGAACTTTGTACAATGGTTGTGCAATTCTAAGCACATTTCTAAGACCCTGTTCTTCCACTAGGCTGTAAGGGTGTAGACTAGAAGCCATCCACTTCCCGATTTCCATTGTTAGGGCTTTAGCCCTAGGATTATCTTTATTCCACTGATTTAAGTCAGTCAATTTTCTTTGTGTTACGGGAGGTATAGGCTTAGCTAGGCCTGTTTGTATTTTTTTTTTGAAACTTTTTTGCTTCATTTTCTTTTTGGTTCTTTTTAAATATCAAATAT